TAGTAAAACACTTGTAGTGTTTATATTTGATAATATGTCGTAAGTTGATTACGCACGTAGTAATGTGCGTAAGTCTACAGACTATTTATTACACGTGTAAAAGACGACTTATCGAATTTTTTTTAAAATAATAAATGGTTGTACAATTGTACATTGCAGCCTGTATTTTACATACTAATAAGGAAGTCTTATTTTTCTTATACGTTACGGCAATTTTTTTTTTTCATAATTGGAACGAAAAAGAAGCAAACGACCCATCTCATGGTAAGTGAGAACCGTCGTCTAAATGTGTACATGTCAATTCATAATGTGTATTGTTACATTATGAATTCTTACATTGCACAATGTAATGAAAACTGTGAAATTAGTAGTAGTGTAAGTGTTGCGGCCTCCTTGACAGGACTGCTTGCTGGCTGGATATAAGACGTAACTAGGAGAGACGAAAGAATTGACAAGACAGACTCGACAAGGAAAAAAGACGGACAATTACATAGAAATTTAAATTATTATATTTTACTTTGGAAACAAGCTCTTTTCTTTAACTACGACGACATCTCTCAACGGTCGGCCGACCAGCAGACCGTTCAAGTGGTCCTTCGAGACAACTTTCAACCAACCTATGGTGCAGACACGAAGACAAGCGAAGATGACGACAATACCGACGGCGCTGCCTGCTACTGCTGACCAGGGTGAACACGACCGACAGTCCGCCCACGGTAGCCGCCAGCCCTCACCTACACCGTCCGCTCGGTCCAATGTGTCAACATCGAGTGTGGTAAGACGACAACGACTCCTACAACTGCAACTACAAGCCGCAGAAGAACGCGCCTTAGTAGAGACCAAACTGATTGAAGAGAGACTTGCAATAAGATCACACGCGCTGGAAGACGAAGACAACTGCATCACGCCTAGCAGATATCAGTCCCGCGAATCGCTACACCTGCCTACAACTTCAGGTATGATACATCACGACAGTATGCCTCAAACCATGCCAATGGGCGTCAATACTAATCTTCAGACACAGCCTGTCATACAAACCGTACCACAACATATTCCGCAATCGCCACATCATTATAGATGTAAACTAGAGAATGATATGTCCAAACTCTTAGCCAGACAGACATGCACAAAAGAGTTGCCTATGTACAGCGGTGACCCAGAAGACTGGGCATTATTCTATAGTCAGTATAATTCGACAACACGCCTATGTGGTTATAGCGACGACGAAAATATTGCGAGATTATCACGCTGCCTAAAGGGTCGTGCACGTGACGCTGTATCTGCCCTGTTGGTGAGTGCAACAAACCTGAAATTAATTATTGACACATTAAAATTACGATTTGGTCGACCGGAATTAATCATAGAAGTCATGTTAAATAAAATAAGAGCCATGCGCGATATACGTCACGACGATGTCAGTCACTTAATAGAATATGCGACTGCAATTCAAAATATTGTTGCGACTATGAAAATGACAGATGAAATCGGACATTTGACAAATCCCACATTGATAAGGGAAATAATTGGAAAATTGCCGTCTTTATTGAAATATCAATGGAGTATGTATATATCAAATAAAAATGTAAATATTGTTACCTTATCCGACGTCTCAGAGTGGCTAATGACAGTAGCTAATGCCGCGACATATAAAAGACGGACGATTACATAGATATTTAAATTATTATATTTTACTTTGAAAACAAGCTCTTTTCTTTAACTACGACGACATCTCTCAACGGTCGGCCGACCAGCAGACCGTTCAAGTGGTCCTTCGAAACAACTTTCAACCAACCTATGGTGCAGACACGAAGACAAGCGAAGATGACGACAATACCGACGGCGCTGCATGCTACTACTGACCAGGGTGAACACGACCGACAGTCCGCCCACGGTAGCCGCCAGCCCTCACCTACACCGTCCGCTCGGTCCAATGTGTCAACATCGAGTGTAGTAAGACGACAACAACTCCTACAACTGCAACTACAAGCCGCAGAAGAGCGCGCCTTAGTACAGACCAAACTGATTGAAGAGAGACTTGCAATAAGATCACAGGCGCTGGAAGACGAAGACAACTGCATCACGCCTAACAGATATCAGTCCCGCGAATCGATACACCTGCCTACAACTTCAGGTATGATACATCATGACAGTATGCCTCAGACCATGCCAATGGCCGTCAATACTAATCTTCAGACACAGCCTGTCATACAAACCGTACCACAAGATATTCCGCAATCGCCACATCATTATACATGTAAACTAGAGAATGATATGTCCAAACTCTTAGCCAGACAGACATGCACAAAAGAGTTGCCTATGTACAGCGGTGACCCAGAAGACTGGGCATTATTCTATAGTCAATATAATTCGACAACACGCCTATGTGATTATAGCGACGACGAAAATATTGCGAGATTATCACGCTGCCTAAAGGGTCGTGCACGTGACGCTGTATCTGCCCTGTTGGTGAGTGCAACAAACCTGAAATTAATTATTGACACATTAAAATTACGATTTGGTCGACCGGAATTGATAATAGAAGTCATGTTAAATAAAATAAGAGCCATGCGCGATATACGTCACGACGATGTCAGTCACTTAATAGAATATGCGACTGCAATTCAAAATATTGTTGCGACTATGAAAATGACAGATGAAATCGGACATTTGACAAATCCCACATTGATAAGGGAAATAATTGGAAAATTGCCGTCTTTACTGAAATATCAATGGAGTATGTATATATCAAATAAAAATGTAAATATTGTTACCTTATCCGACGTCTCAGAATGGCTAATGACAGTAGCTAATGCCGCGACATATATTGCTCCGCTTCCTGTAAAATATGTAAATAATTCTATGCCGAGACTGCCGCCTAAGCCTGAACATAGACAATGGAGACCAGTGATAGCTGCGACATCTTCTTATTCAGCTTCATGTGTCCTATGTAACAGAGATCATCGATTAAGTGACTGCGATGACTTCAAGCAGATGACTACTGACGACCGCTGGAAGCTGGTAACTGACAAAAAAATGTGCTTTTCTTGCCTATCTCTGCGACATCAGCTGAAAGCATGTAGGAGAAAAACTAAATGTTCAGTACCTAACTGTACACGTGTACATCACACCCTGCTTCATGCTGCTCCGCGTGATGAGTCCGGAGAGAGAGTGGTTTCAGTCAACCACACCGAAATGACAGCGAGCATCGACAACCAACACTCATGTACTACTGAAAGTTATCCCGGTGGTAGTATCAGGAACAAAGGGTGATGTCACTACTTTTGCACTCCTAGACGAAGGAGCATCTTTGAGCCTAGTTGACAATGCGCTGCTCGACAGGGCCGGCATTACCGGACCGACAAGAAGTTTACACATGCGCGGTGCGTCTGGAATGTCAACTACAGAGACGGACTCAAAAATAGTGTCGTTTAATATTCGCGGTATAAATGAACAAAATGTGTATAGTGTAAATAGTGTGCGTTCTATAAATAATTTGAACATTTCTGTAGATAGTATTTCATATAAAAATATTGTAAATAAATTTCCTTATGTAAAAGACTATGTGACAGACTATAACATACGACCTAGAAAAATTGAATTACTGATTGGACAAGACAATATCGACTTAATTATAACTAGACAAATAATACAAAGACATAAGAACGGACCTATGATTTCTAAGACAGACTTGGGTTATGTATTACATGGAAACATTGGGTTCAGTAGTATAACGAATGACAGTACTATATTACATCTCTGTTCTTGTGACGAATTACATAACCTGGTGAAGAGATCTTTCTCTACAGATTCTTTCGGTGTGAAGCAAACAGGCGACTTTCCTCGTTCTCGAGAGGATCAGCTGGCACTGAAGATTATGGAACGGACAACGAAGCTCTTGCCTGAAGGACGATGGGAGACTGGCTTGTTGTGGAGGTCTGATGACGTTCAGCTTCCTAACAGCTACCCACAGGCGAAGAGTCGACTCTCAGGTATTCAGAGAAAGTTTAATAGGTACCCTGAGTTTGCCGTCAAGTATGAGGAGAAGATACAGGAGAACCTCGACAAGGGTTATATTTCGAAGCTATCCTTAGAGAAAGCTTCAGTCAAGACAACCAAAACCTGGTATCTTCCTCATTTTGCCGTATTCAACCCTAATAAGCCTAACAAATTACGGATAGTACTAGACTGTGCCGCCAAGTCTGATGGTAGGTCACTCAACGATTTTTTAATGAGCGGACCGGACCTTTTGACATCTCTGCCTGCCGTACTATTAGGGTTCCGTATAGGTAAATTTTCTGTTATTGGAGATATTCAAGAAATGTTTCACAGAGTTCTTATTAGAGAAGACGACCGACATGCCCAGAGACTTCTGTGGAACGACGACATATATATCATGAATGTTATGACCTTCGGAGCAGTCTGCTCACCATCATCAGCACAATATGTCAAAAATATTAATGCCCGCAGATATGAGACGACCTGTCCTGAGGCTGTAAAGGCAATTGTTGACCATCACTATGTCGACGACTACATTCACTCCTTTGACGACGAGGACGATTTAATACGAGTGGTGGATGACGTTATACGTATACATGCCTCTGGTGGTTTCAACTTAAGAAACTTTGTTTCGAATTCTCAAAGACTTTTACAGCACTTACCTGTAGACAGGCTTGCTCCGAGTAGCCTGAAGATTCTCTCCGACTCCAAGGATGACCAGGTCGAGCGTGTACTTGGAGTACGCTGGAACCAAGAGACTGATGAGTTTGTCTTTGAACTCAAGTTTCCAAAGGTAAGTGAGGACATTAAGACCGGGCTAAAGAAACCAACCAAGCGTGACGTGTTGAGATTGACAATGTCCATCTTTGATCCATTGGGTTTCCTCCTGTACGCCACAGTAAGGGGTCGAATACTCCTACAAGATGTGTGGAAATCTAAAATCGGATGGGACGACGAAATCGAATCGAGTCACTTCGAGAAGTGGCAATTATGGTTGACGGACCTTCAAAAGATCAGTACGTTTAGACTTCCGCGTTGGTTCTTTACTGACATGTGTGACAAACAAGTTACAGAACTACATGTATTCTGCGATGCAAGTAGTAAGGCATACGCAAGCGTTGCTTACCTTCGTGTCAAGATGGTAGACGGAAGCTGTCACGTATCCTTCATCATGGCACGTGCTCACGTCGCTCCGCTGAAGGTGATGAGTATACCCCGACTCGAGTTGCAAGCTGCACTCATGGGTGCTAGGCTAGCTCAAACCTTGAAGAGACACTTTGACACAAGCGTAACGCTATGGTCTGACTCTAAGACTGTTTTAAGCTGGTTGCGTTCTGATAGCGGTCGTTTCAAGCCTTTCGTCGCTCATCGTGTCAGTGAGATCTCCGAGATAACCGACGTCAATCACTGGAGGTGGGTACCATCAGGACTGAACGCTGCAGATGACGCTACAAGAGACACGACAATTGAGGACAACGTGAGGTGGCTACATGGACCACAGTTTCTTCGTATGTCTAAGCAGTTCTGGCCATTAGAAGATAACGACGTAGCTGTGGATCCTACAGACATTGAAGTAAAAACTCTCTGCGTCTTAACAGTTGTACCTTTCGAGCTACCTGATATCAGCCGCTTTTCTAAATTCTGGAGGCTAGTAAGAAGTACCGCCTGGTTTTTTCGAGCTGTATACAACTGGTCCCACAAAGACAATAGAAAGAAGGGTGAATTAACAGTAGACGAAATTAAAATAGCAGAAAAGTCGTGGATTAAAGAAAGCCAGGGAAACTTATTCCATAATGAAATAAGTTGTTTGAAGAAGTCTGGACAGGTTGACAAAGACAGTTGCTTGCGACAGCTGACACCTTTTTTAGACAAAGACGACATTCTTCGCGTTGGTGGGAGGATTAGTGAGGCCGACGCTAATAGTGATACTAGGCACCCCATCATTTTGCACCCAAAAGACAATTATACTCGTCTGCTAATGCACCAGTATCATCAAGACGCAGCCCATACAGGACGAGAGCTGGTCTTCAATAATTTAAGACAGCGTTTTTGGGTAATTGGTGGAAGAAATGCTGTCAAATCTGTCTGGAACGACTGTCAAGCATGTAAAATAAGAAGAGCAAGACCTGACCCACCTTTAATGGGACAACTACCCGAAGTACGACTGACAGCTGGTGGACGACCATTCCAGTTTACGGGCTTGGATTATTTTGGTCCCATGCTGGTGAAGGTAGGCTGTCATCGTGAGAAGAGGTATGGGGCTCTTTTCACCTGCCTCACGGTGAGGGGAATCCATATTGAAGTGACACATGACCTGTCGACTAGTAGCGCGATTATGGCTATCCGACGATTCATAGCCCGACGTGGATGCCCAAGACAAATATGGAGTGACAACGCCACTACTTTTAAAGGAGCCGACCGTGAGCTTAAGCAGTCCGTAGCATCCTTAGATAAGGACGAATTACTTCGTTTTGGCACTGTAAAGGGCATCGACTGGCATTTCATCGCACCCAATGCTCCTCACATGGGAGGCTGTTGGGAACGAATGGTGAGATCCGTCAAGACAGCGCTTCATATCACTCTAAAAGAGACGGCCCCGAGTGATCAAGTGTTGTCTACGTTACTTGCGGAGACAGAACATTTTGTAAATAACAGACCCCTGACGTACGTACCGATTGACAAGGACGACGACTTACCATTGACACCAAACAGCTTTTTGATGACCAAGACTGATTCTGTTGACTTACCTGTTAGTACCTGTAATGACGGTGAGGTATTGCGACGATCCTGGAGGCACTCTCAACGGCTTGCCGACTTGACCTGGAAACGCTGGATCAAGGAGTACCTCCCAACTTTGACACGACGAGACAAATGGTTCCAGACTGAGACACGACCACTGACTATCGATGACATTGTCATTGTGGTCGATGACCAACTTCCCCGCAACCTGTGGCCCAAAGGACGAGTGACAGCTGTGTACCCTGGGAAGGACGGTAGGGTCCGAGTAGCTGACGTGCTGACTTCGACCGGACTATATAAACGGCCAGCAACGAGGCTCGCCAGACTGGACGTCCGCACTTAGAGTATTGGTTTCCAATACTGGAGGTGGGGATGTTGCGGCCTCCTTGACAGGACTGCTTGCTGGCCGGATATAAGACGTAACTAGGACAGACGAAAGAATTGACAAGACAGACTCGACAAGGAAAAAAGACGGACGATTACATAGATATTTAAATTATTATATTTTACTTTGAAAACAAGCTCTTTTCTTTAACTACGACGACATCTCTCAACGGTCGGCCGACCAGCAGACCGTTCAAGAGTCCGGAGAGAGAGTGGTTTCAGTCAACCACACCGAAATGACAGCGAGCATCGACAACCAACACTCTCATGTACTACTGAAAGTTATCCCGGTGGTAGTATCAGGAACAAAGGGTGATGTCACTACTTTTGCACTCCTAGACGAAGGAGCATCTTTGAGCCTAGTTGACAATGCGCTGCTCGACAGGGCCGGCATTACCGGACCGACAAGAAGTTTATACATGCGCGGTGCGTCTGGAATGTTAACTACAGAGACGGACTCAAAAATAGTGTCGTTTAATATTCGCGGTATAAATGAACAAAATGTGTATAGTGTAAATAGTGTGCGTTCTATAAATAATTTGAACATTTCTGTAGATAGTATTTCATATAAAAATATTGTAAATAAATTTCCTTATGTAAAAGACTATGTGACAGACTATAACATACGACCTAGAAAAATTGAATTACTGATTGGACAAGACAATATCGACTTAATTATAACTAGACAAATAATACAAAGACATAAGAACGGACCTATGATTTCTAAGACAGACTTGGGTTATGTATTACATGGAAACATTGGGTTCAGTAGTATAACGAATGACAGTACTATATTACATCTCTGTTCTTGTGACGAATTACATAACCTGGTGAAGAGATCTTTCTCTACAGATTCTTTCGGTGTGAAGCAGACAGGCGACTTTCCTCGTTCTCGAGAGGATCAGCTAGCACTGAAGATCATGGAACGGACAACGAAGCTCTTGCCTGAAGGACGATGGGAGACTGGCTTGTTGTGGAGGTCTGATGACGTTCAGCTTCCTAACAGCTACCCACAGGCGAAGAGTCGACTCTCAGGTATTCGGAGAAAGTTTAATAGGTACCCTGAGTTTGCCGTCAAGTATGAGGAGAAGATACAGGAGAACCTCGACAAGGGTTATATTTCGAAGCTATCCTTAGAGGAAGCTTCAGTCAAGACAACCAAAACCTGGTATCTTCCTCATTTTGCCGTATTCAACCCTAATAAGCCTAACAAATTACGGATGGTACTAGACTGTGCCGCCAAGTCTGATGGTAGGTCACTCAACGATTTTTTAATGAGCGGACCGGACCTTTTGACATCTCTGCCTGCCGTACTATTAGGGTTCCGTATAGGTAAATTTTCTGTTATTGGAGATATTCAAGAAATGTTTCACAGAGTTCTTATTAGAGAAGACGACCGACATGCCCAGAGACTTCTGTGGAACGACGACATATATATCATGAATGTTATGACCTTCGGAGCAGTCTGCTCACCATCATCAGCACAATATGTCAAAAATATTAATGCCCGCAGATATGAGACGACCTGTCCTGAGGCTGTAAAGGCAATTGTCGACCACCACTATGTCGACGACTACATTCATTCCTTTGACGACGAGGACGATTTAATACGAGTGGTGGATGACGTTATACGTATACATGCCTCTGGTGGTTTCAACTTAAGAAACTTTGTTTCGAATTCCCAAAGACTTTTACAGCACTTACCTGTAGACAAGCTTGCTCCGAGTAGCCTGAAGATTCTCTCCGACTCCAAGGATGACCAGGTCGAGCGTGTACTTGGAGTACGCTGGAACCAAGAGACTGATGAGTTTGTCTTTGAACTCAAGTTTCCAAAGGTAAGCGAGGACATTAAGACCGGGCTAAAGAAACCAACCAAGCGTGACGTGTTGAGATTGACAATGTCCATCTTTGATCCATTGGGTTTCCTCCTGTACGTCACAGTAAGGGGTCGAATACTCCTACAAGATGTGTGGAAATCTAAAATTGGATGGGACGACGAAGTCGAATCAAGTCACTTCGAGAAGTGGCAATTATGGTTGACGGAACTTCAAAAGATCAGTACGTTTAGACTTCCGCGTTGGTTCTTTACTGACATGTGTGACAAACAAGCTACAGAACTACATGTATTCTGCGATGCAAGTAGTAAGGCATACGCAAGCGTTGCTTACCTTCGTGTCAAGATGGTAGACGGAAGCTGTCACGTATCCTTCATCATGGCACGTGCTCACGTCGCTCCGCTGAAGGTGATGAGTATACCCCGACTCGAGTTGCAAGCTGCACTCATGGGTGCTAGGCTAGCTCAAACCTTGAAGAGACACTTTGACACAAGCGTAACGCTATGGTCTGACTCTAAGACTGTTTTAAGCTGGTTGCGTTCTGATAGCGGTCGTTTCAAGCCTTTCGTCGCTCATCGTGTCAGTGAGATCTCCGAGATAACCGACGTCAATCACTGGAGGTGGGTACCATCAGGACTGAACGCTGCAGATGACGCTACAAGAGACACGACAATTGAGGACAACGTGAGGTGGCTACATGGACCACAGTTTCTTCGTATGTCTAAGCAGTTCTGGCCATTAGAAGATAACGACGTAGCTGTGGATCCTACAGACATTGAAGTAAAAACTCTCTGCGTCTTAACAGTTGTACCTTTCGAGCTACCTGATATCAGCCGCTTTTCTAAATTCTGGAGGCTAGTAAGAAGTACCGCCTGGTTTTTTCGAGCTGTATACAACTGGTCCCACAAAGACAATAGAAAGAAGGGTGAATTAACAGTAGACGAAATTAAAATAGCAGAAAAGTCGTGGATTAAAGAAAGCCAGGGAAACTTATTCCATAATGAAATAAGTTGTTTGAAGAAGTCTGGACAGGTTGACAAAGACAGTTGCTTGCGACAGCTGACACCTTTTTTAGACAAAGACGACATTCTTCGCGTTGGTGGGAGGATTAGTGAGGCCGACGCTAATAGTGATACTAGGCACCCCATCATTTTGCACCCAAAAGACAATTATACTCGTCTGCTAATGCACCAGTATCATCAAGACGCAGCCCATACAGGACGAGAGCTGGTCTTCAATAATTTAAGACAGCGTTTTTGGGTAATTGGTGGAAGAAATGCTGTCAAATCTGTCTGGAACGACTGTCAAGCATGTAAAATAAGAAGAGCAAGACCTGACCCACCTTTAATGGGACAACTACCCGAAGTCCGACTGACAGCTGGTGGACGACCATTCCAGTTTACGGGCTTGGACTACTTTGGTCCCATGCTGGTGAAGGTAGGCCGTCATCGTGAGAAGAGGTATGGGGCTCTTTTCACCTGCCTCACGGTAAGGGCAATCCATATTGAAGTGACACATGACCTGTCGACTAGTAGCGCGATTATGGCTATCCGGCGATTCATAGCCCGGCGTGGATGCCCAAAACAAATATGGAGTGACAACGCCACTACTTTTAAAGGAGCCGACCGTGAGCTTAAGCAGTCCGTAGCATCCTTAGATAAGAACGAATTGCTTCGTTTTGGCACTGTAAAGGGCATCGATTGGCATTTCATCGCACCCAATGCTCCTCACATGGGAGGCTGTTGGGAACGAATGGTGAGATCCGTCAAGACAGCGCTTCGTATCACTCTAAAAGAGACGGCCCCGAATGATCAAGTTTTGTCTACGTTACTTGCGGAGACAGAACATTTTGTAAATAATAGACCCCTGACGTACGTACCGATTGACAAGGACGACGACTTACCATTGACACCAAACAGCTTTTTGATGACCAAGACTGATTCTGTTGACTTACCTGTTAGTACCTGTAATGACGGTGAGGTATTGCGACGATCCTGGAGGCACTCTCAACGGCTTGCCGACTTGACCTGGAAACGCTGGATCAAGGAGTACCTCCCAACTTTGACACGACGAGACAAATGGTTCCAGACTGAGACACGACCACTGACTATCGATGACATTGTCATTGTGGTCGATGACCAACTTCCCCGCAACCTGTGGCCCAAAGGACGAGTGACAGCTGTGTACCCTGGGAAGGACGGTAGGGTCCGAGTAGCTGACGTGCTGACTTCGACCGGACTATATAAACGGCCAGCAACGAGGCTCGCCAGACTGGACGTCCGCACTTAGAGTATTGGTTTCCAATACTGGAGGTGGGGATGTTGCGGCCTCCTTGACAGGACTGCTTGCTGGCTGGATATAAGACGTAACTAGGAGAGACGAAAGAATTGACAAGACAGACTCGACAAGGAAAAAAGACGGACAATTACATAGAAATTTAAATTATTATATTTTACTTTGGAAACAAGCTCTTTTCTTTAACTACGACGACATCTCTCAACGGTCGGCCGACCAGCAGACCGTTCAGTAAGATTTATATAATTGTATATGCATATTGGTAAATCTAATCCTCCAAATAAAGATGGGTGACACTGCATGTTGTCAACTCACCCGGCCGGCCAGCGGTGGTTCTGGGCCAGACGGATAAGGTCTGCCTCGGTGTCACTGTTAGGCAAATTGTAACATCTCGGCTGGAGTTGTACAAAAGTGGAAATTAAATAAATATTATAATATTAAAGTAAATTAAAAAAGGCACGGGCGAATATGTCTGTGGAAAAATGTATTTAAATAAAAAAAAAAATGTATACATGTCCACTATCCTTATAAGTATTAAATGAAAATTGATTTTATGTACTTACTAACCTTAACAGTAAAACAGCTTTGTTTTAATTGAGGCAGGCTTGCAATATGCAGATTCATACATTATTTATTTTATCTCCTTAATTTTTTTAGGTAACTAAATGTCAAATCCACCTCATGGAAAGTATCTAAGCGTTCAAACCGAAACATAGATTACAAAATAAGCTGTAACATACGTTATAGATGTAGCAAACGACTTTGATCAAAATCTATCTATGTAAATACTCCGTATGATGGAATTTTTCGATTAAATCCATACGAATACACATGAAAGCAGAATAAAACCTTTTCCATAACTACTAAAAAAAAAAACACGCGACCATCAATTTTCGGAATGTGAAAATGGCGCGAACGTAGTCACAGTCGGATGGAAGAAAAATCGCGCGCTGTTTCCCGCTCTTTTTCACGTCCCCTTCCCAGAGCCGCTCAGTCGCTAACGTACCGTTGCGCGGTCGACACGTACGTGGCTGTCCCACGAATAATTGTGGTACCGTAAAAAATCGCCGCTTCAATATTGGATGCCGCACTATTTCTGTCACAGTGACAAAATTATATGTTCGGACGATAATTTGTGAGATATAAAAAGTATATTGGTGTGACATAGTGTTGTTTTTTTCAGTGAAGTGATGTGATTGTTGTATTCGAGATTTTTTTTTGTTTTACCCTTTCATTTCGGAAGACCACTTTGTGGGAGGTAAGTTACGTCTATATATTTTTTAATTTATTTAAATTATATTCTTTATTTAATATGTGGTCATATGTGAGAATTCTATTTTTTTATTTATGTTAGTAATTTATTACTTTTAAATGTAGTAAAATTATGATTTTAATTAAAATTATTTTCACAATATTTCTAATTAAAATAATTATTTTACAATAACATTCAATGATTATATTATTATACATCTTAACAAAGACTGCAATTATTTCGTATTTAATAACTCGATTTAATATTAGTAAACTTTTTATTAAACTACGTAAATAAAGTATAAATTGTTTTTCTTTTAATTATTTAATTATATAAAGAAATCTCTTATTCTTCCATCTGGAATACTCTTGTGCTATACAAAAAGGGAAAACGACCATCTAAGTCAAAACCTAGAACACCCAGAAACGAGATAATTAGAAACTTTCGTTTCCTTTATTATTATTTTACTAAGTTCGACAGTTTAACTTTATTTACGCGAAGGGCAGAGGGACTAAATATATATTACTAGTAATAAAGCTATAGTCCTTATTATTAACAATAATAAGTACAATAGTTTTATTACTAGTAATATACAGTCGACCTCCACGCGATCGTCCCTGGAAACTATCATGGTCAATTTCTGGTAAATACGCCACGATTGGCAAACTAGCCTGATTTCATGTACTCGTATCATCCACCAATGGTGCCCCGCCAGCGTAAACCGTTAGCGCAGGCGGGTGCACCATTCCATTATCATCTACAAATCTTACGCAATGCAGTGTAATTATTCAATATTACTATGTTTTTAAATTTGGAAACTAATATTTTTTATGACCATTCTATTTTTTTTTTAATTATTGATGCGTTGTGGCGTACCAATTTTCAAATTTCGAATGTTTATTTTTAATTTACGTACCCCGTAGACACTGCGCGGTTTTCAAATTTCGAATCTTTGTTTTTAATGATATATTCTTTGAATCATAGAAAGCCTTTTATGACTTGAAATGTAGCTCCACCGCATTATGTTTTTTTCGTGCGATTTATTCCGCAACCAAGGAAACGTAATATAGAGCTATGTGCACTCTTAAAAAATCGCTCTAAAGCCATGAATATAGTGTACATTACACTTAAAATAGCATAATATGTATGTACATAAAAAGTACCATGCACATTACATTATTCTGTAACCTCGTGATCTAGTGATAGAGTTCTTTCGCCATTCCGGAAAAACATATCACAAAGAAAGCTGTTAACTGAAATGGGCTGGATAGAGGTACCGTAGTAAACGTAAACTCTATTACATTTTTAAAGTATTTTAATTTAAATAATGTCACAGTTTTGTATAATTGCACCCGTCTGGGTTTGGGTCCACGGTTAATATATATCTGGGCAGCCCCGGATTTAGGGGGGGGGGGGGGGAGGGGGCAATATGGGGCCCAAGCCCCCGCAAGTCCTGGAGGTAGCAAATTCGATCTTCGCAGATGACACAACTCATCATTAACGCATCTTATGATAACTTGACCACTGAGACGTCGAAATAGTTTGTGTTCATGCATTTGAAAAAAAAAACAATAATTACAGCAATACCAATCGGACAAATTGTATGTTAATATTTATATAGTGACGGCCTCGGTGGTCTAGCGGTCTAGCACACCGTTTTACTTCCGATGGTTGCGGGTTCGATTCCTCGCACTGCGCAAACATTTGTATTCATGAGTGAGTGATTGATTGTTTGATGTATGATTGTTTGTATCGGCCTGAGTGTTTTCTATGTATATTATACACGTATTTACCAAAAATATATATGTATGTATTTATATCAGTTGTCTAGTACCCATAACACAAGCTCTGCTCACTGTGATGATTGAGTTGTGTTAATTGTCCAGGGTTATTTATTTATTTATGTATATGATTAAAAATAAAATGTTCCGGAAAGATAGTAGGCGAGTAGGAGTCTCAGTGAGACATTTTTTAGTTCTTGCACCGCTTCGAAAAAAAAAATTTTTTTTTCGGGGCTGTCTCTGGGAATAATCGTTTTACAAGGCACCTCTCTATCGACACAAAAGAAACGGGTGTTACATCTATTGGGACCCGAACAAACAATGCTCACAGAGCCAAATTAAATATTTGCCCTCATATTCCCAAATATTCGGACAGATCTTAGCGTTTGTTTTGTGATTTTACACTTGATAAAACACCGTATAGATGAGCCGTTAACGTAACGACAGATGAAGTACCAGAGTACTGGTTACAAAGCAATTAAGTGATTCGATACTACAGTATCGGTATATTAGTTACTTTTGACGAAATTAACTATATCATTTACTATAGAGACATGGGATTGTTAATAATGCGGACTAGTGCCTCCATAGCTAATAATAAACCATGTTAGTTGACCTCCACGAGGACCCTCCTGGAAATAATCGTGGTTAATTCTGGTGATTTTACACCATACACCGTTAGCGTAGGCGAATGCAACTTTTCAATAAAAAAACCAATTAATTTTTAGGTCGTAATTGTCCTTAAACTGCACTTACTATGTTCTTATTTTTATATATGTATGTATATATATTTATACTATGTTTTATACTATGTAATGATTACTACCAACTTATTGTACTTATTCTGACAAATAAATAAATAATTACTATTATTAAAATGATAAATTAAAAATGAATGGTTATACATATATCTTATCTAATTAATATTATAAACCCGAAAGTTTTTGAGTATGGATACATGTTTGTTACTCTTTCACGCAGAAACTACTGATCGGATTTTGTTGTAACATTACAGTGATATAGCTTATACATCAGAATAACATATCTATACATATAAATAAAATTAAAGTGTCTGTTTGTAATATTGAAACAACCATTTTTTACATGCATAAGAATATAAATACATACACCAAAATATTTTTTTACAATTTTTATCTGTCTGTCTGTTTGTTCCGGCTAATCTCTGAAATGGCTATATCGATTTTGGCGGGGCTTTTATTGGCAGGTAGCTGATGTAATAAAGAATAACTTAGGCTAATATTATTTTAGAAAAAAGCATTTTAGAAAAATAAATTAAATTCCAAGCGGATGAACTTGCGAGCATAGCTAGTATAAAATAATACTCAGTTTGTTTGTACAAAAATATGTAAAAATATCTACGTTAGAATTAATTGACACGTTTTGTTCAGTTGTTAATTTCTAGACAGTTTTACTGACAATCTGTTACATAGTTTGCGTTGGACATGAAAGCTGTCAGTTAAATTTCACGCGGTCAGTTCTAGTTTTAGTGAATCTTTTATTTAACTAAACAATAACGAGTGGCAGTTCTAACGAATTGTGTTATTTAGTTTCGAATCCATCCATAATTTTACGGCCGTGGTGGTCCATCGGTTTGGCACGCTACTTTAAGATGTTCGCGGGTTCGATTCCTCGCACGGTATAGACATTTTGTATTCATGAGTAGGATTGTATCGGTCTAGGTGTTTTCTGTATATATTACGTATGTACTTAAAAAAGTGTATGAATATTTGTATCAGTTGTCTAGTACCCATAACACGAGCTCTGTTTAGCTTGGGATTAGATGGGGTTGTGTGAGTTGTCCTGGGGTAATTTATTAATTATTATTATTTACTTCTGCTTGCTGACACGTGCAACTTTGTCTACGTAATGTAGACAAAGTTGTATGAAGAAACTTACTTGACATTTAACATTATATTTAGCCTAATTTAAATAATCTCTTTTTAAATTATAGCCTATATATTATTTGGATGTATAAGCTATAATACTGTAAAGTTTCATCAAAATCCGTTAAGTCATTTTTGCGTGAACGAGTAACAAACATCCATCCATACTCACAAACTTTCGCATTTATAATATTACTAACATAAGTGAGAAAGTATGTCTGTCTGTTTGTTACGTTGTTATGACTAAACGGCTGAACTTATTTGAATGAAATTGAGAGTTCGTGTTCCCTTAATAGGATGGCAGGTAATCATCAAAATATGCTGTCAATTTCATTCCTACCAACAATGAAAGTGAAATCTTTTTTAAATAATTGGCAAGACATATAAACTGACGGCCCACCTGATGGTAAGTGGTAACTGTCACCTATATATGAACAGCACTACGGACATCACGTTATCATGTGATACCTGCGATACCACTCATGCGTTTGCTATTCCAGAGAACTAAGATGTTATGATAAGAGATAAGAGATCCTGTAATTTCACTGCTTTATCTGCATCCTACAACTAAAATACAATAGGTGTGAGACTGAGGTACCCAGATGATCGACTTAGTACAGTCAACCGCTTAAACAAGTTTGTAACGAATAGTTTACAACCAAAATACGCTTTACAAAGCAAGCCGCTTGGCGGCTGAAATAGACTGAAATACTCACGCAAAAGACTTAATACAGTCAACCGATAAAACAAGTATCTCCCTTCCGATCGATCTCATCCAACTCAAACGGGGATCGAAATTACGACGGCCTGAGCCGAGGTTCGAACCTCTAGCGATGCCCTCGGACTAAAGTCATATCCGTCAGGCGGAAGTTGGCTTTCAGGCGCTCCATAAGTCCTTCCACGTCTTTGGAGTACCATCTGCACTCGCCCGCCATCGCACAGTGGGAACTTTGACTCATTTTCATCTCATAAATCTATAACTTCTGTATTAATAAAGATATGTACATGATTTTTTTTTCTGATAATCTTAAATATATATACTTTTAAATAATGTATGCTTTGTGAGTAAAAAAATATTTTTAATAGTTATAAATAATTTAGGAATACAAAAAATATAGAATTTGTAGACTTACATTTATGTCCTAAGAAGTTTATACAGAAATAAGTAAAAGTATCAGCGTAAAAAACCAAAATTCTTATAAAGATAGCTTACAAGTCACTCAAGAGCTCCTTTTCTTCATCAAAAAGTACTAAATATTTTTAATTGGAAGGTTTTCTTAAACTTGTTATGTATGGGTCAGAGGTGTATAAAAATGCGTGT